CTAATTGGCTGTTGCTGGAAGTCTCGCCTGTCCAGTAAAGATAGAGTGAACTTCCAGTGTCCAGCCATTCCAGGCCTAGAATCTAACGCTATCCGAGCACAGACGAGTATATGGTCCGAATTGCCTAACCAGTGGAACGTTGGACAATCTAGCAGATCTACATCGGCCCTTCTCAGTATCATTCTATCCAGGTAGCTGTCTACTCAGGTAGCCAGCTACTTACGAGTCCACTTCCACATCTCCCGCCCGGTGTGATCGACTTGGTATCTATCGTCGAGACCAAACTCGTCGATCAGATCAACCAGGCTACGATCACCCAATCACTTCCAACTAGCTCCCCGCAACCTATCTATCTTGGGGTCCAGGATGACTTTCTAGTCCCCCACTAATTCTAAGGGCGATGAATCGACCAAGAACGGTCCCAACTCCCCACCAAAAAACCCAGACACGCTCTTCCTGATCGTTGGGCGCATAAACCACAACGATCCGAAACGAACTACTGTTCACGGGCAATATCAGCCACGATCAACCGCCCCCACCCCTTATCGATGTGGACAAGGTCCGCACTCGCATCCAGGGTACGTTTAACCAGCAGGGAAACACCTCTGGCCGGCTGGTCCAGATATGCTGAATAGACAACATAGCCTCTAGACAGCACAAGCTCATCAACCTCGTAAGTAAAGTGCGTCTCCTGGATCGCAGTTACATCTACGCCGAATGACAAGAGATCACGAAGCAAGCGGGCGGCCTTACTCCGATCCGTCAATCCCCTTGCATTCAAACTAGCTATCTTGAAAGTCATTTTTCAAGTTGATTCCCCTACTCACAGACTGGACGGAAATCTGCGGATGAAAGGACCCCACCGGACTGTCCCAGGCTCCCTGTTCCCATCTCTGTCGTCATAAAACCATCTCGGGCAATACGGCCAACGTCCGAGGGCTACGTTAGTTTTAATGTCCTGTATAATGAAGGATGGATGATTACTGGGACCCTCCCTGTAAAATATTTCTGTAGCTTTCTCAGTTCCGGGGTTCCTAATTCCGCCATACGCATCTCCGGAAAGGCATCCTTCTCCTCGTGAAGGTGATCCCACGCTATTTATCCATGTTATTACGCCAGCGGCCTTTGGAAAATTTCTGGGATCTTCTGTAGCAAGTCTGTCTACTGACGCCATCTTTAACAAGGGCTTCAACAAAGGTCTCTTTTTCTTCGACATGCCCGCTACTATTGACTGATTGTCCACAGAGCAAGACATTACCCCACTCGGGAATTTCTTCTTACGAGAAGAAGAACTCTGCTGGGAGGTGTTGGGCGTTGGGGATTTACTAGGAATTGTGTTGGTGGAAACTGGGGTGTTTGGAGGAGTAAAAATGTCATTGGCTGCAGTGGTATTGGGAGGGAGTGTTTGATGAGGAAGTGTATTGCGAATGGGGAACTGTGGTGCTTTCACAGGGAAAGTGGGGAAGGCTTCTTCGGGCTTCTTGACTGGCGAAGCCGGGGCTGATTGAGCCTTGGTTTTGGCAGAGCTTGCTTGTCTTTTTGTCTTTATTTTTCCTGCCTTTCTTCTTCTTCTTCCACTTCCCCTCTCACTCTTTTCAGTGAAGACGACCGAGTTGGGATCATCTCCTGCATTTCTACTTCCCTTACTTGCTCGTCCTCCGGCTCTGGTTGGGGACCCTCATTCTGCTGCTGAGGGGAAGTGGTGGTACTTTTGGGTCCCTTTTTGACGACTTCCGTCCACTCTCCAGTTTTCTTAGTTGTCTGTGCTGTTGCCTGTGATATTGCTGCTTCATTTTCCTTTTTGGGTTGTGGGGCAGGATTTTATCCCGAGCAAGCCTTCGACAAATGTCCCGCAGCCCCACAAGCCCAACAGAGTGGTCAACGACCCTCCACAACGACATAGATAAGTCTACCCTTACACATTAACGTGTTGGTTATTTCCGTAAATTGCTTTCGATATAATGTAATTGATATTTCAATATCGCCTGTGGCAATTCCAGCCTGACTTTAAATAGGGAAGACGTCGGAGACGTACCCACATTTAGAAAATAAAAAACCCAATATCGTCTTCAGATATGTAGAGTGGCACCCTATGTAGAGTCATCTTTGTCTTTCTTGTCCCCGTAGATTCTGTCTGAAGCCTGACTGTCGAAGTAGTTAGAATACAACCTGCCAGCGATTTAGCTTTCTTTTCTGTCGGCAATAAGATGTCTCATATTGATCTCATCTTTCTTGCTAGAATTTGGGCTGCAATTTGAAGAATTTTCAGGGACTCCTCCATCACTTCCCTAGTCACGATATTTATTTGTATTCAGACGGCACCGGTAATAACTCATTTCCATTAACAAATGGATCAAACTTCTCCTTTAAATTTCTGAAATAATCTGGCCCTTTTTGTGGGGCCCTATCCCTTGCCTATGCCGAAGGTGTTACTTCTGTGGGGGAAGCAGGAAGATATTCGGGCTCCGACATGATGTCCGCCTACCCTCGTCACTCCAACGCAATTCGAAACAATACACGCAATTCAGACGAATAAGACGACAACGAAAGACAACAATGGATGCACGAGGAGATGGTGGGAGGCAAACAAAAATACCACTTACTCCGAAGAATATCCAATGAAAATGTCTTGTACAGCTGGCGATAAATTCGGTAACACAAAAAATCTCCAAATAGATAGATAGATATAAACAGACTGAGATAGATATATAAGTAGATATATATGAAAAGTTTGAGATAGATAGATAGATAGATAATGGGAAATATGAGATAGATAGATAGATAGATAGATAGATAGATATGAACAGACTGAGATAGAAAAATAGATATATAGGTAGATATATATAAAAAGTCTGAGATATATCAATAGATAGATATGAACAGATTGAGATAGATAGATAGATAGATACATAGATAGATAGATAGATAGATATGAACAGATTGAAATAGATGTATAGATAGGAACAGATTGAGATAGATAGATAGATAGATATGAACAGATTGAGATAGATAGATATGAACAGATTAAGATAGATATATAGATAGATATGAACAGATTGAGATAGATAGATAGATAGATAGATAGATAGATAGATAGATAGATAGATTGATATAGAACATAGATTGATATGAATACATTGGAGATAGATATGAACAGATTGAGGTAGATAGATAGATAGATAGATAGATAGATAGATAGATAGATAGATAGATAGATAGTTATGGAGTGTAGAACTCAAATTCTACATCATTTAATACACTAGAATAACTTGTTCAATTTTGCAACAACAAAAAAAAACGGATCACAGAATAAATCCTGCTTCAAGCACATTTTCAAAAAACCCGAGTTCTAAATGGTCAATAAACACGCAAGTCGACGTTACTATCCTCCTACACACAAGTATTTTTTTCAGCTCGTGACTAAGTTTAAAGTTGGTGCCTATTTTCTGTGAGCCACTCGAAGTAAATAAATAGAAAAAAATTCATTCACACTCACCAGCGAGCATCGTGACTCCGAACGACTTGCCACAAGAATCCACGTCACATCATCTTAAGTTTTAACGTTTCTATGAACATTCAACAAACATTAAGAAATCTTCACTTACTCACCAATTCATTTTACACAGAAGTCTGAACTTATTTCCTGCAAATGAATTAACTTTATATTTTGCAATCTTTCAAGAACATTGTCTTACGATATTAATCAATGGAAGACAACTTCATTGAACTAAATTTGCACACATTTTTTAGGTAAATTTATTGCTTAGATGAACAGTTACTATCTAAGAGAAAACTTTCTCCTACAACTCACTTTATGAAACTTCATTCAAACATTCTACCAAACTGCATTTCTTATCTGAACTCATCAACTAAAGTCAAACATACACATAATTTAAGTTCAACACTAATTAAACAAACGTAGATTCCATTAAAAAATCTACGCCATTATGTAAAAACCTTTTTTACAAAAATATAATGAAAGCCCTTTGTTTACCAAATATGCTTTTTGTCTTTTCTCAAATTTGTTTATTGCTTCTTGTTCCTTTGAAGATGAAAGATTTGAAATTGTATGGACGAATATAATTTTTGCACGCAACCTATAAAATATATTCTTCTCACATAAATATTCCCTCTACGGGAGGATAGATAGATAGATAGATAGATAGATAGATAGATAGATAAAGAACAGACATAGATAGATAGATAGATAGATAGATAGATAGATAGATAGATAAAGAACAGAGATAGATAGATAGATAGATAGATAGATAGATAGATAGATAGATATTGAGCATTAAAACTGATCAGTAATAATGCCATTAACTAGCTTCCCACACCCGTCCAAAAAAGTTCACCTAAGAGAGATACCGCCTTCATTTTCCGGCATTTATCAAAAAGTGTGTCTGGAACAAGGTTATAGACATTTTCATAATGGGACAGCAGAAAACATTTCAGAAACCCTTTGAACTTCCACGAATCTCACATAACCATTTTCCTGAATCGCTTTCTGAATATTTCCCTCAAGAAAAGCCATGATGTCGTATACGAAATGAAACCCTTGCTTAATTTTACCCTTGGTATCAAAACTATCAGAAATTGGGGACGGTTATTTATGACAAATATTACACTGGGGTTCGAGAGTAGAATGTTTCTCGCGTGGACAGCTTAGTTTTCGTTTATAAACATTGTTCATAACGACCCTTCAGTGTATTCATTGGTTTTTGGAGATAAAATTCTGTCTGCTGAGTTGGTGAAAATTTGGCTTCGTTCTGAAATATATAGATTCTTATAATCGAGTCGAAATGTGCTATAAAACTTTATGTGCTTAAAAAAGAAAAAGAAAGGAATAAAACCCAGATTTATGCAATGGCAAGGTCAAATTTAAGTCTCAGAGTTTAGCTCACAGTGCAGGTAAAGTATCATTTCTAAGTGTGGGTGTATCACGGGGAAAAATAATTCCAATCACGTCAGCATCAACGGGTGATTTTTTTTTATCTTTCATGATCACGTGTTCCACCGTGAAGTTATTTCTGTACGTGATTCGTTCCTTTTGCCCATCTATCAAAGAAATCACAGTTTCTAGATCATTCTCTTCATATATCTATCTATCTATCTGTCTTTTTCATTCTATCCATATCTATCTATCTATCTATCTATCTATCTATCTATCTATCTATCTCATTCAGTTCATATCTATCGACCTCATTCAGTTCATATCTATCTATCTATCTATCTATCTTTTTCATTCTATCCATATCTATCTATCTATCTATCTATCTATCTATCTATCTCATTCAGTTCATAACTATCTACCTCATTCAGTTTATATCTATCTTCTATCTATCTATCTATCTATCTTTTTCATTCTATCCATATCTATCCATCTATCTATCTATCTATCTATCTATCTCTATCTATCATTCAGTTCATATCTATCGACCTCATTCAGTTCATATTCATCTATCTATCTATCTATCTTTTCATTCTATCCATATCTATCTATCTATCTATCTATCTATCTATCTCATTCAGTTCATAACTATCTACCTCATTCAGTTTATATCTATCTATCTATCTATCTTTTTCATTCTATCCATATCTATCTATCTATCTATCTCATTCAGTTCATATCTATCGACCTCATTCAGTTCATATCTATCTATCTATCTATCTATCTATCTATCTATCTATCTATCTTTTTCATTTCCATATCAATCTATCTACCTCATTATCTATCTATTCCTATTCAGTTCATAACTATCTACCTATTCAGTTTATTCTATCTATCTATCTTTTTCATTCTATCCATATCTATCTATCTATCTATCTATCTATCTATCTATCTATCTCATTCAGTTCATATCTATCTACCTCATTCAATTCATATCTATCTATCTATCTATCTATCTATCTATCTATCTATCTATCTATCTATCTATCTTTTTCATTCTTTCCATATCTATCTATCTATCTATCTATCTATCTATCTCATTCAGTTCATATCTATCTACCTCATTCAATTCATATCTATCTATCTATCTATCTATCTATCTATCTATCTATCTATCTCATTCAGTTCATATCTATCTACCTCATTCAATTCATATCTATCTATCTATCTATCTATCTATCTATCTATCTATCTATCTTTTTCATTCTATCCATATCTATCTATCTATCTATCTATCTCATTCAGTTCATATCTATCTACCTCATTCAATTCATATCTATCTATCTATCTATCTATCTATCTATCTATCTATCTCATTCAGTTCATATCTATGTACCTCATTCAATTCATATCTCATCTATCTATCTATCTATCTATCTTTTTCATTCTATCCATATCATCTATCTATCTATCTATCTATCTATCTATCTATCTATCTATCTCATTCAGTTCATATCTATCTACCTCATTCAATTCATATCTATCTATCTATCTATCTATCTCATTCAGTTCATATCTATCTACCTCATTCAATTCATATCTATCTATCTATCTATCTATCTATCTTTTTCATTCTATCCATATCTATCTATCTATCTATCTATCTATCTATCTATCTATCTATCTATCTATTCAATCATATCTATCAATCTATCATCTTCATCTATCTATTCAGTTCATATCTATTTATCTATCTCATTCTGTTCATATCTATAAATAATGCTTCATCATTTGGAATTTGCTGAACAAACAATTGATAATGTCAACAGCCAAAGGGAGTAAATAATCGATCTAGCATCGATCTGTATTTGTGTAATTTTCATTATTATTGACCAAATGTGAATGATCAAACCTGCCCTTACCTCACCGTCACTGTCCAACTGACTATTTCAAGAGCGTAAAATAAATGCCAGGGGAGATATTCTCTCTCTTGTATGAAAGATGCATACATTTTCTTCAAGGATCATAAGCCGAACTTTGTCAATAGCTTACAGTCCCGTCTAATTAATCCCTCCAAATCTGAGTTGGGATTAATTTCCAAGAGTATCTTAAAGGAAATAACATCTTGTGTCCTGAATAAATATCATGCTAACCTTTGGAAGGACTCGGCGGAGACGATTAAATGGTTCCGAAATATCACTAACAAGAATAAAGCCACTTTCATCCAATTTGATATCTTGGATTTTTACCCTTCTATTTCGGAGGAACTATTAATTAATAGCCTCAATTTCGCCAAAGGATTTACCAAAATAACGGATATTGATCTGGACATTATTTTAGCGTCTAGAAGATCAATACTTACATACAATGACGCTACTTGGGTAAAAAAGAATAATGGTAATTTCGATGTACCTATGGGTGCCTTTGATTCTGCCCAAATTGCAGATCTGGTGGGCATATATATTCTTGACACCTTGAGTAGAATAGTTGACCTTAACCAAGTCGGAATTTATAGAGATGACGGCTTAATCATTGTCCCAAATAGCAATGGTCCCTTAACTTCCAGCTTACATAAGAAGATTATTAGGGCCTTCAAATACTTAGACCTTAAAATTGAAATATCTTCCAACCTGAAAATAGTCAACTTTTTAGATATTACACTCAATCTATCGAATAATACCTTTAAACCCTTCCACAAGTTGATCAAACACCCCTATACATCAACGTCCACTCTAACCACCCTAAACATGTGATAGATCACATCCCCAAAACTGTGAATACGAGAATAAATAAGCTATCTTCTAGCCAGAAAATATTTAATGGTAATAAATTTATATACAATCAGGCCTTAAAAAATAGTGGTTTTAGACAAGAATTAAGCTTTAATGGTGAACTTGTAAATCAGAATAAGGGCAAAACTAAGAACAGGAAAAGGAAGGTAATATGGTTCAACCCACCATATTGCAGACTCTCTAACATTGATATAGGAAGTTTCTTTCTGAAATTAATTGATAAACATTTCCACAGTAAGCATCCACTACGTAAAATTTTCAATAGGAAAACTCTAAAAATTAGTTACTCATGCGTTAGAAATATAGAGAAAATCATATCTTCCCATAATTGCAGAATACTTAGAAACTACCACGGTAATGGAACTCAATCTAGTAACCCTACCTGCAATTGTAGGAATAAAGACCATTGTCCAATCGGGGGTAAATGCAAATCTGAAAATGTAGTATACGAGGCAACTATCTTTCCCGAGGGAAATATAAACGAGAAAAAAAAGATACATAGGTATATCCGCCGGTGATTGGGCAGCGTCTATACAACCATAGACGCTCATTTAGATATAGATGCCTCAGTAGACAGACTTCCTTATCCAAACACTACTGGGAACTGGTGGATACGGGATTAAACCCAATTTTGAAATGGAGATTCCTATCTAGAGCCAGAACACCTAATAACTTCCGCGATCGGTGTGATCTATGCATGGCGGAAAAAATCTTCATTATCAAAGATAAAAATCGAGATGAGCTGCTGAATCTTCGAATGAGGTATTCTCTAAATGTAGACATAAGAAAGGTTTCAAAACTTGAACACCGTTGTGTAACATGTTGTCACTTATGTCGGCTCCATCTCGGTCCTATAACATCGGGCATGACATTTTAATTGTATGACTATTATGTTTATCTCTAAATGTACCTTTGTGCACGTTTATGTGATGCGCTATGTATTTATGTATGTATGTATGTGCATGTATGTGTATGTAGATATATATATATATATATATATAAAATTTTTTTTTTTTTTTTCTTACACGCGCAAATATTTGAATCGTCACTTATTTAGATTTTAACTTTTTTGTATATATGTACATATGTGTATATCTCTGTGTGTATTTATATGTATGTATGTGTGTGTGTATATGTGTGTATATTTGTATGTATATGTATATATGTGTATATATGTGTGTATGTATGTAAGTGTATATATGTACGTATGGAGGTGCTTATGTTATGTATGTATATGTATAGGTGTGTATGTGTACTTATGTGTATACATGTTTATGTGTGTGTGTGTGTGTGTGTGTGTATGTGTATATATACATGTGTAAGGGTGTGTATGTATTTGCATGTGTATATATATACATGTATAAGGGTGTGTATGTATTTGCATGTGTATATATATACATATGTAAGGGTGTGTATGTATTTGCATGTGTATATGTATGTGTATATGTGTGTATGTGTGTGTATATGTATGTATGTGTGTATATATGTATGTATGTGTGTATATGTATGTGTGTATGTGTATGTGCGTGGATGTATGGGTATATGTGTGTATATATATATATGTATGTATATGTATATATGTATGTATGGGTATATATATATATGTGTGTATGTATGTATATGTATATGTATGTGTATGTGTATGTATAAGTATGTATGTATGTATGAATGTATACATGGGGCATATGTATGCGTGTATATGTATGTGAAAAGTGTGTGTATATGAATATAGATGAATATGTGTATGTGTGGATATGTGAATATATTTTTAGGTTTATATATATATATATATATATATATGTTTGTTATATATATATATATATATATATATATATATATATATATATATATATATATATATATATATATGTGTGTATGTGTGTATGTATGTGCATGTGTATGTACACGTATGTCTGGGTGTGTGTGTGTGTACATGCCTAAGTGTATGTACCTACTTGTATATGTTTTTTGTGTGTATTAGTATGTGTTTTTGAACATAGAAATATTTGGTCCTTGCGAAATGAGACAATCGTTATATTCATCTTCATATATTTATATTTGATTTAATTTTCCCAATTACAAAGCGGCCCTTTAAGTAAACACAATTTTATTTTCCTTCGTCCCATCCCTCTCCCCCACCCTTTCCCTTTTTTTTTTTTTTTTCCCTTCCTATCCGAATTGTCTGTGGTGTGTATATGTCACCACGAAATGTATCTTTATGTATTAGACATCCGTCGACTTTCTTTCTCTCCTCTTTTTAAATCCACCCCACCCACATCTCCAAAAATTCTCTCTGTCACTCATCCTCATACTTACACTTTCTCTAAATTCTGTTTTGATTTCCGGAGTTGTTTTTTCTGTTTTTCATTTTGAATTTGTAGGTCTGATGATTTGGATCGTATTTACGATTCCAATGGAATAAATTATGACCATGGAATATTAGTGTTTAAGCCTTTTTATTATATCCTTACTCTGTCCTAGACATTGAGTTCTACCTGGATCCTTCCTCTTGGAAAATTTTTTCTGAAAATATACATGTATGGGAATTTTTTAGATATATTTTTCATATGTATGTATATTTTCCACTAATATTATCTATATATATATATATATATATATATATATATATATATATATGGTAATCCGTATGGATAATCCCAAGGAAGATGAAATCCTGAGAGCTCAATGTTAAGTCAGAGCGAATAATTTAATTTAATGAAAAACCACTTTAAGTCTCCATTAGTTATAATTTATTTCACCAGAGAAATTAATTTTTCTCTGGATCTTCAGACTTCACTTTCAAAGGTGAAACGAAAAATGAATTTAAAATTTACACTTTTGACGGGCAGTATTAAGCTTCTATAAATTAACATAGAGGCTGGTGAGGAATAGTGTGAGAGACATGGTCGAGTTTAGAGAGAGAAGGTGGAGTTTTAAAATTTATTTTTATTACAATAATTTATATTGATGAGGAGGGGGTAAGGATCAGACATGGACTTATTTAATCGGTCAACTCAACGGAAATATTATGGGGAAAAAGGGAAAAAGGGGAAGGAAAAAGGGAAAATAAAGAGATAAGAAATGTACGTAGGTTTTTTTGGAGGAAGGTGAGTGGTGGTATATCTTTAGCAATTTAGATAAAGACACACACACACATACACACACACACACACACACACACACACACATATATATATATATATATATATATATATATATATATATATATATATATATATATATATTTATATATATTATATTTATGCTCTACTTTTGTATCGAGCACTATTTTTAAAAAGAATAACAAAAATACTAAAGAACTTTGGATTATTTACCTAACGAGTTCTTTCCTATTTTCTATATATTTTTACGCACACACACACACACACACACACACATATATATATAACGCTATCGAGACATCAAGATCCACAACTCAATCATCGCCATTATAATCAAGAATTTGAAATATATATTCAGTGATGGCCGTAAGCATTTCAGTGCTATACCTGACAAAACGGAATCCATATTGTTTGATCGTGGGAGCTAAGAAGCTTAACCATTTCAGCATCGATTAAAGCCTTGAATAGTCTGTCGAAAAGCGGTAAGAGATTAATATTGCAATAGTTACAGGATTCAGAAGGTTCTCCAGAGTTCTTAAAAACCGGAACAACTGAGGTGGATCTTCCAACAAGCAGGAAATTAGGAAGGAAATAGTTGTAGAGTTCGGAGAGGACAAGAGCCAGCTCGAGAGCACAGTTCTTTAGCACGAGGGTTGGACATCCGGTCACTTCCATTTACCAAATGGGTGTGTAATTTAGAAATGATGTCCAAGACCAGTGACGGGGTTATGCGCATATCACCCAGTAGTAGCCTCAATTCTAGGGAGATAAATCAGGTCTGGTTACGTCAAATGAGTATTGAGGTGGAAGAGAATTTAAGAGCAAAGCATTCAACCTTATCTGCTGTAGATGAAATAGTTTCAATA